ACTTTCGTCTATTTCAGAGCTTTGTGTTCTCAGTTGTGAGCCGACAGAGTAGCTGAGGTTGTTGTTGTTATAGATTCAGCTACTGGGAACAAAAAGTTCCAAGTAGCACGGGCTATGGTGAGCCCGTAGTGGAGTTACGTGGCACAGCAGCGGGGCTGTTTTTTTGGTAGCTGAGGTACTCTACAAGTCTTATATAATACCGAGCGAGATCAAATAACGGCGAAGCCTCCCTTTTTTTCAGGGATATTCCTGCGCGGGCCCTAAGCCTCGGGCTGGCCCACTAAATGTTGCTTGTCTCTGTTTTACATAGGCGGAGTATGAGTATTTATGACTCGTATGGTCACTTCAGTAAGATTATGCCCCATGTGTTTAACAACTTCTGCTCTGTTGAATGTAAGGTGAAATGTTACTGGGTTAGTAACTGTGCACTGTGTTAGATAATGTTCCAGTGGTCTGTCGGGCATTTCTCCACAGTGCTGACATTTCCTCCCATCTTCCGGAACCTGTAAGCCTATTTCCCCATGCACGTGGGTATCGAAGCCGAAGACCCTTGACGGGTTCCACAAGTTGAATATCGTACCAGGTGAACCTAGAAGTCGAAACAAGGACCCCTCCCCCCCCCCCCCCCCCCCCCCTCCCCAATACCAGGGTACAAGTTTAACTCGTGTGTCCATATCCGTCAGCTGTCAGACTTAATTGGTAGTTTCATCATATCTGTGTTTTCCTGCGTTCATTGTGTTGTATTATGTTATAGAAGAACAGAGTGGTCGTTAGTATTGAATAAATGTTCTCCCGTTTTCTAAGTAACGTAATAGCGTCTCTCATGTTGGTGTTTGCGACGTCATTTATTGTTTTTGCTAACAATTATGTTCAAAGAAAACATTGACAAAGGACACACACATTATTTCACCGCCCACCATTTGCAGTATATTACTGAGCAATATTTTGTATCTACAACCCCAATTACAAGGAGGAATTCAAGCATCCGGCCTCCGGCTACACACTTGGCTCCAGCATCCGGCTACATCTCCTGGTCCCACTGTAAAACACGACTTACTGGCAATGAGATACTAACGGCATCAACTGTCTCAAACGAGTATGTATAGTATCTATTGAGAATGAATGAGAGGTAAACCTTGCTTCGTAGTGTATATACACACCACGAAGTTTAGATAGTTTACTCTAATCCTGGACAATAGTTGGGGATTAGAGTAAACTTTAAGTGTATATACTCACTATGAAGCAAGTTTTTTTCCTCTCAGCGTATATACACTGAAAAAGCTTGGATCACTAAGCATAATTCCTGATCTGAGGTGGACCTTAAGCTCAACACCACGCCATACCAAGTCAGCCGTCCTCCTCCCAACGTTAAGAAACTATTGTACTATCCTAACCTACCAGAGGACCCAAAACAGAAAACGGAACAGCACGTTAATTTTGCGAGTCGCTACCATTTTCTAGTACGACGATTTTTTTTTGGGGGGGGGCTATAGGTAACGTATGCGTCAAAATACGACGTTCTTCTAGGAGGACGACGTCTTCTTCTTGGATGGGTTGACCAAGTAGTGGCTAATGTAGTGGCCAGAAGGGAAGGGATGCAGCAACGCGGTGGCCGAGCTGCGTAATCTCCTCGGTTTAGCATGCAAGACACACGATGAAATCAATGAGAGCGTCAACAGGACACGAGCCCAGTGGCCAGCCAAGGGAGAAAGAATCTCGATATCTTACTTACAGTCAAGTTATATCTTACTTATATCTTATCTTTAGTCCATTAACACTGGCAGTTCTACGAGTGGCTCAGGTGTAATCCTGTTCAGTACTTGGAAAATATGGTATGGTAATGGTGTTTGAATACAGAGTTGTAACTAGCGTGCATTGTCAAAAAGGGCAGTGGTAAAGCACTCGCCCGGCGCTTCGTGAGCGCTTTGGGCTGGGTTCGTATCCTGGCCGGGGTTGGGGGTGGGTGGGAGGGGATTGACTGGGCGCCAATCCTTAACTGTACGCCTCTGTTCAACCAGCAGTGAATGGGTATACATGGTTGTTAAACGATTTGGCGGGGTCGTATTCCGGGAAAAGTTAGGATTAAGGACCTGCCCGAAACGCTATGCGTGCTAGTGAGTGTACAAGAATGTAAGAACTCTTATATATATATAAATAAAAATTAATAAAATAAAATAAAGCAAGAGGCGCTGCCCCTCTATAGGAAAACACGCAAGTTTTATAAGTATTGGAACTTGGGCTCATAAAATCAGAGCCTCTGGAACGGTAGCGCCAAAGAACTTTCTGAAAGACTTAAGGTAGTGGTTCTTTGATGAGCCCAAAGATCCAAGAGTTTCCATTTACCTGTTCCAGCGCCTCAGTGTTTCAGCACAGAGAAGAATAACACCTATTCCCCCCCCCCACCCCTTTCCAGCCCGACATGGAAGGAGTTCGAGGGAGGGATTAAAACGTGTGACTATTCATTGCAACTCTTTAATTTTTCAATCAACATTGTATAACTGATGAAGTACAGAGCAATCACATATCCATAAAGTAGTATGCCACATATCCATGCACACATGTGAGGCTTCTACACGATTCCCTTGAATGCTAATTATTCTTTTCTCAGAGACTATGAGGCCTCGAGTAAGCCAAAAGTAGTACCTTAACACGTGTGTTTGTAAAATCCAAAAAAAAATACTTGAATTAGTAATGCGTAATTAACCACATTGAAAGAGGAAAACTACAATTCGAAGCACATTGGTGTATATATATATAACACTCTCGAGAATGTTATATATACACCATATGTAATATATATATATATATATATATATATATATATATATATATATATATATATATATATATATATATATATATATATATATATGAGTTCTCTCTCCATGTGGTTACTTACATAGTGCCGAATCTTATACAAAATTACGTGACGGCGATCAGGTATCAATGAGAAAAATGAGGTACGGGAGAGAGAGAGATGACGAAGCTGAGACATAGCATTTCGTAGTGAGAAAAGTACATAACACAAGGAAACTCATGATTGTGGAGAGCATATCAGGATTGGTTGGTGAAAGCGGGTAGTGTGTGTGAGAGGAAGCGGGTAGTGTGTGTGTGTGAGGAAGCGGGTAGTGTGTGTGTGAGGAAGCGGGTAGTGTGTGTGTGTGAGGAAGCGGGTAGTGTGAGTGTGTGAGGAAGCGGGTAGTGTGTTTACAACACATGCAGTATGGTTAGGAACACGGCTGTGTGGAAGCAGTTTATAAAGGATTGGGTGTGTGTATTTAATGTATAAACAGCACACCAGGTGTTGTGAAGAGGTGATGGTGGTGGTGCTGTGGAGGACTGCTGAAGTGTGGTGGTGCTGTGGAGGACTGCTGAAGTGTGGTGGTGGTGCTGTGGAGGACTGCTGAAGTGTGGTGGTGGTGCTGTGGAGGACTGCTGAAGTGTGGTGGTGGTGCTGTGGAGGACTGCTGAAGTGTGGTGGTGGTGCTGTGGAGGACTGCTGAAGTGTGGTGGTGCTGTGGAGGACTGTTGGAGTTGTGGCGGGGATGTACAGTGTTGGTCGGTTGGCGACCATCACAACTTTACTGTTCACTATCTTCCTCACTGTAACCCTCTTCACACACTATCTTCACTGTAACCTTCCCTACGCATCCCACACTTTTCCTTTCCTTCACCTCCTTTACCCCTCACTACTTTCACCATTCTTCACAACCTTCCCTACCCATCATCATCATTCCAATCCTCTACCAGCTTCCCTACCCTTCACCACCTTCCCTACCCTTCACCATTTCCCTACCCTTCACCACCTTCCCTACCCTTCACCACCTTCCCTACCCTTCACCACCTTCCCTACCCTTCACCACCTTCCCTACCCTTCACCACCTTCCCTACCCTTCACCACTTTCCCTACCCATCACCACCTTCCCTACCCTTCACCACCTTCCCTACCCTTCACCACCTTCCTTACCCATCACCACCTTCCCTACCCTTCACCATTTCCCTACCCTTCACCACCTTCCCTACCCTTCACCACCTTCCCTACCCTTCACCACCTTCCCTACCCTTCACCACCTTCCCTACCCTTCACCGCCTTCCTTACCCATCACCACCTTCCCTACCCATCACCACCTTCCCTACCCATCACCACCTTCCCTACCCATCACCACCTTCCCTACCCTTCCCCTTTCTTTCTCACCTCGTTCCCTTCATACCTGTAATCTTAGTGAGGATGAAGTCTTTTATTTACCTAGATTGTAAACTAGACTGGTTTACCATTTCATGCAAAGTGGGCCATCGGGCTCGACCCCCGACCAGCCTATGACCAGGACAAAGACTCTGCCAAGTTTGGTGAGGCTAGCCCCGAGCGTCTGTCCTCGAACCTCAAACAGACAGACAGTATCTTTTTACAGATGCAGTTGAAAGATATTTTAATACTTTATTGTTATATATATATATATATATATATATATATATATATATATATATATATATATATATATACTGTATATATAATATAAAACTGTGTTTTGTTTAGACATTTTCTCCGGGCAGATAAATGTTATTGTCCTCAATAATATTGACTTTCAAAATTGATATACATCCATCAATATATCGTTTAGAAAAGCAATTTTTCCAACAAATGCAAAAGGACAAAATTATAGTAACATATTCGCTAGAAAAAATGCAAAAGTATTGGATTAAATATAATTTGTTTTTTAATAATTTTTATGATATCTTGAGATCTTGAAGTTAGATTATGAGATGGATCTTTAGAGATCCAAAGGATTATCCAAAAGAGGTCTTTGGATTATGAGATAGATCTTGAGATAGATTATTTTTTTTTTTTTTAGAATCTTATACAAAATGTTATAATGTGTTTGTGTACAGTGGCTATTTGCGTTCTTGCGAGCGCATGTCATGAGTCCCTGAGTGGGTCTGTGGAGACCTGTCAAGACCTGGGCAGAACGAGACTATCGGTAATTCCGGTAATAATGACTTACCTCCTCCATGAGGTCCTTGAGAGGCATGTAGGGAGCCTTGGGCTCGCCTATAACTGGATCTGGCGCGAGTTTCTCCAGCATCTTGAGGGCATGGTCCAAGGCGGCCCAGTCCCCCTTGGAACTTAACATCATCACCCGAGTCCGTTGTTTCTGAATCGCCTGTTCCCTGTCCGGTTCTTGCTGGAGGTCCCCACTTTCCCCACCATCATCAGCTTTGGATTTCTCCTGATCTTCACTGTCTACGCTTCCTCCTCGAGCACTGCCCTGCGCACTTTTCCCTCCATCCACGTTTCCAGCACGCGAATTATCGAGGCTACTGCGTCGACCGGCGCCCATACTGCTTTGGCGTCTCCTCCCCCCTGTGGGTTGGGTCAGGGGCAATCCACCTATTGTGGGTTGCTCGGCTCCATCACTCGTGGGCTGGCGACCGGAGGTGCCAGACACTGGCATCTGTGCTCTGCGGCCTTCGTCCCGACCCGGGGCACCTGGAGGCACGTCACCCACAGGGCGGCCCAGTTGGGAGCCATATTTCATGTTTTTGGAGTCAAAAACCTGTGTGCCGTACGGTTTGGGTCTGTCACCTCGTTCGCGGTCCGGTTGGCCCGGATCCGGGGGACCGGACAGCCGTTTGCTGTTAGACATTGTGTCACCTGAGTGGCACTATGTTGTCACCGCGACGTCTACTGGCATGACCGCCTAAACCGACACTCTCTTTTTCTGTTTTGTTTTGGAGGGGGTCCCCACCGACACGGAGTGAGGTGTAGCGGAGGTGTGAGCCACGCTCCCTGTGGAAGTTAACCTCTGGGCCCAGGTGTGGCGTCCACGCGATCACACGATCAACTGCTGGCGAGCCACACGGCACTGTCGACCTCTATCCCGCTATCCCTTCCCTCTC